GACAGGGTTCACCAAGTCTCCAGTTCAAATAATGAAAAGAAATCTGTACCAAGGCACATCTTTAAAATAGCACTCATGTATACACAATTATAAAAGATTTCTGGAAAAAAAAACCCTTTAGAACCACATACAAAATAAGCCAGAACTCTAGAAGAGATGTCTTCATGAAAACATACAATGGAGAGAATGTAGAAAATTTAGCTAAATAAGCAAAGACAAAATAAGACAAATGTTTATTTCTCACATAAAAATGAGTAATTATATATTATATTGTACTATATTATATATTATATTGAACTATTATATGGTATATATTATACTATATTACTTGGTTTAGCAGTGAAAAATTATTACATGGTCATAATAATGAAGAACTTAAATAAGATATTAACCAGAAATTGTAACAAACCATGCTGTGGAGGATAAGGGAAGAACAAGAAGTATACCTGAGAAAAAATTCTCACCTGAGCTTATTGAATAACATGAAGGCAGTGTATGAAGAAGCTGAAAGTGGAGTGAAATGGAGTGGACAGGAAGGAAACTAGGGACCAGCTGGCACTTCCTGTTGTTCTTAAAAGCCTTTTAGCACTATCTTTTAAGACTGTATTCATGTATTACTTTGATATTATACAAAAATAATTTGAAACAAACCAACAAAAATGACACTTCTACACTGTACTTAGTGAAACTTACTCTAGAGGACAAATCTGATAATATACTGAAAAGTTTTAGGTTACTAAAGGCCTCAAGTCCAATGCCACGTCGTGCTGTTCTTGAAAATTAATTTGTAATGGTGCAGTAATAATCTACCTTTTCCTAAATAACACCAGTTGGACTTTAGTCTTCAAAGTCTGCATTCCTGTCCTTAGAGATTCATCAGGGACTTGGAGAATCTCCAATCTCTACTTTAGGGATGAGAAGGTTTTACTTCCATTCTGATGCCAACCAATGGACACAACACTATTCTTAATCCCACAGCCAAACCAGGCCAAGATTGAAACATTCATAAAAATTCACTGTCATGGAAACTGACACCCAACTAGTTAATCTGCATTACAAAGTAAAGGGTCCTCATCTTCACCTCCCCTTTCCTATAGCTAAGCATCAGAAGCTGTTTATGACTTGCCAAATCACTTTTAGAAAATTCCTTCTCTGTGTACCAGTTTCCTCTGTCAAAGGCCAATGATAAAAACTTGTTTTAAGAAGGTGTGATTCAAATTAATGAGCATATATAAACACAGATTACTGCTTTTATTATGCCTAATTTTTGGTTGCACTTCTAAAAAAAAACCCAAGTTCTCTTTACTGTAAGTCTTTCTCTGTTAAAGGTAACACTACAGAGAAATCTGATGACTTTGTGCATATATAGATTTTTTTTTTTCTTTTTTGGTACCAGGGATTGAACTCAGGACCATGCGTTTGCGAGGCAGGCCCTGTGCCACTGAGCTAATTCCCTGACTGTGCATATATGTTAATGTGTTCAAGGACGAACTCTTCTTTCTAAATGTAGACTCATAAGTTCTTGCTTTCTTGAGCTTTTTGCCACCTGTGTGTCAATTTTTTCCTTTTCTCAAAGTCTTGTCCTTTTCTAGATATCCCTGCATTAGTGCCACCCCACATTCTTTTCTTTTATATTTTGTTTGCTATTTTTCTCTTTGCCCTCTGAATTTTTTACCTCAGAAAACTAGTTTAGGCTCCTTTTGTTTCTCTCTTCACTCACCTTTGAGTAATCTCATATGAACAAGCAATTCTTTAACAATTTCCACCAGACAGCAAACTCTCAAATTCTTGTACGCTCTATAAACTTGGATTTCTATCTTCCTTGCTTGACACCTCTATTAGAATTATCTGAAAAATCAGATCCTTCTCATTGCTCTTTTCAACAATGACATCAACATCTCTAGTTATCTAGCCAAAATAATCAAATCATTTCTCTTCCTGCTTCTCTTTAAGCCTGTCATGGGAGTAATGTGAGGAATCCCGAGATTCCATTTGTGTGTTCTCTTCCAATCTCTCATTTTCACCCACCAACACTACACTATAACAGATCCTAACCTGAGCTGGGGCAGCTATAACAGCCTCCTAATTTGTTCCTTTACATTCTGTCAATTGCCACTTCAATCCTTCTTGCTCCCAGAGTGAGTGGCTTTGACCAAATTCTTGCTGCTTTAAAACAAGCAATGGCTGCCTGTTGCTACACCCTTGGCATGTAAGACCTTTCATATTAATAAACCAAATCACAATATCTAGCCGAATCTCACTGCTCCCCTACACATACTCTATGTTCCAGTCAAACTCTACTAATATTCCTGAGACATGTCTGGTGGGTTTTGTTTTGTTTTGGCAGAAAAGAGAGAAAGGGTTTGAATTAATTACCTGTTAGTTACCCCATCAATCCTTCAAGGCCCATAAAAGTTTCCTTAATTTCTCAAAGTATTCATTCTATCCTCACCCAATGTCTCCACAATTTTCTTTTTTTATTTCTTTGTTTTCCCTCTCTCCCTCCATCCCTCCCTCCTCCTGTTCCTCCCTTCCTTTCTTGTTTTCTTCATTCCTTCCCTCCTCTTTCTGGAGATTGAATCCATGGCCAGGAACATGCTAGGCAAGCTTTGTGTCACTGAGCTACATCCCTAGCCCAAGGTTTCCTTAATTTCTCTACAACCAAAGTCCCTCTCTCCTGCATTTGACTTCTCATAGTTCTCTGTTCTTTAAATCTGTCCTTATTTTACTCTAATTTACAGCAGAATTGCTCATGCTCAGTCTTCCCCCTCCCATGAAATTTTAAACTCCGGAGCACAGGAATCACCTTTGTGAGTTGCTACGTCTAACCTGCGCTTAGCACTTGTATGTACTAAAGAAATGTCTTTGAACTGGAACTCACAAGAACAGTTTGGCATTCATCAGGTACATTTAATAACCAAACAACTTTAAGAACGAGGTAAACTCTGACGACAAATTACTTGTTCCTAGGTTTGCAGACAATTGGGACAAAGGAAGTCTTGGTTTGGCTAAATGGTAGAATCAAGAGTTGTATAAAAGATTTTTAAAAAAAAAATCTTGCTAGTGATAGCACAGATAACACTCTCCCTCCTATATCAGCTGTTTACAATTTCCCAGCGGAATGCTAGAACGTGGAGCAATGAGCACAGGATTACTCTGATGAAATTGGGGGCGGGGTAAAAGTGGGATTCTCTCCTCAGGATCCCGCTGAATTTTAAGTTCAGCTCTGCCTCTCTGCTTACTGAAAATACCCCTGGGACCTTGCTAGACGTGGCATCTTTCTCAGAGTCCGTCCTGGGCTTCCTGCTCACGTTTCCACAGTGATACGTGAACACTGTTCGGTAAGAATATGCTATTCAACACACATGAGGATTATTCTGAGCCCTTCCTATCTCTGCCAGATACCAAGCTAGTCTCGGAGGTTACCAAGTGACAGGGCCTGCTGCCCTGCCTCCAAGAGAAACATCTATTAATGTGTATCTCCTTCAAAGGACTGGGTCTTCTTCCCCTACAGAATAAGTACACCACAACACTTCCTTGCTGAAGCAGGTGAAGTTGGTAGGTAGATAGGAAAGGTGTTGTATTAGCAGTTAGATGGGAGCCTACCACTGAAATCGCCCCAGGGCACTGTGTAAATGACCTGTAACCTCAAATGTGAATACAATAACCTCTGCTCAGCCCTACTTTCTTAGACAAGAGTGTACAGGTGTCCCATTTAGTCCTGATTTAAGGAAAAAGATGAGTTTTAAAAAAGAAAATGAGCGAGTTTATTAAAAAAAACAGTTTGGCAAGAAGAAAAATGGACAATATTTAAAAACTTTAGGGAGGTGTTGAAGCGAGCTGACAGCGCTTTAATCCCAAAGGATCAGGTCTTTTCCTCCACTTTCTGGGCCATTTCCACTCCGTGCTAATCTTCAGCAATAATGAAACCACCTCGGGATGCATAGCTTATTTTAAATCCGAGCCCTTCCCTGTGGGATCTACTCCCAGCCTTAGATTTCTGTTTATGCAAGTGCAGCTCGGCCAGGCGGCGGCGGCTCTGAGGCAGCCAAGCAGCAAGCAGGGGACTGGTGGGGTCCCTCCTGGGTCGCCCCACAGGCCTCGGACCGGCAGTGGACAGTTTTAGGGCGGCAGGAGGCGCTGCAGAATCTTGGTCCCATCCGGAGAGAACCATCTCCCCTTCAAGGCCAAGTTTAGACCCCAAGTTTTCTACGTACATCTGTGCCTCTTCCTTAAAGACGTTAAACCCTTCAGGACGCCCACTGTGTGCGGCAGGAGAAACAGAGTCCCTCACTCAGTAACACTGATAACTCTCGCTTTATCTTCTTCGCATCTCGCAGTCTTCAAGACTGGAAATTAGGAAAAGTTGCTCTTGCGCACACATTTAAGCGCCAACCACTCATTCGTTATAAAGAAAAGACCCCGAGCTGCCCGGGAACGGCAGCCTAAGTTACCACTCCCTCCTCGGGTGACCGCGGGGGCTGCGGTTCTAGTTTTACCTCTACTGCGGAAGGACTTCGGGGAGGTGAGCCCGGGGAGATTTCCGCCAGCACCTAGCCTCGCACTGTCCCCTCCCGACTTCCCGCGGCCCTGGCCCTGCCCCCGACGGCCGAAAGCATCGGAGGGGACCCACGTTCCCAGTTGGGTCAGAGCTGAGCCCCCAGGGAGGAGTTTGGGGCTCGAGGGGGCGCCCACGTCTGTGCACCTGCTCCCCTTTCTCAGCCTCCAGCACCCCGGTCCGTTTGTGAGGGGTCCCCAGCCCGGGTGGCAGTCGTGCGCGCGCTCGGCTCTAGGCGAGGCAGTGCCCGCTAGCTGGGACGCGCGTGGCGTCCGCGTGTCCATCTGCGGGCTGCTGTGAGGCGGCGTCCACACAGCTCCCCCCAAGTCCCTCCGAACAGTAGACGCAGGGGCCGATCCGGCAGTGCAGTGCGGGGTTCTAGGGTCCTGCCTCGGCAGGCGCTGCCCGGGGTCCCCCCCCCCCCGGACCCCTGGGTACTCACTCGTCCGGGCCCGGGGAGCGGGGCGGCGGGCAGGAGCGGGGTGGCTCGAGCCCCCCGTTGACGTCCCTCCAGCCCCGGCGGAGGCGGCGCTGCGGCTCCGCGCTCTCGTCCTCCCCTTCGTCCTCCTCCTGCTCCTCCGGCGCGGGGAAGGTCACCCTCGCCTGCTCCTTGCACTTCCTGACCTTGGTGGACATCGCGCCAGCGGCGGTCCGCGCTCTGGGCTGCCGGCCCCCGGCCTCCTCCCCCGCCGCCGCCGCCCCCGCGCGGTCTCGGGGCGGCGCCCCCTGCTCCCCCGCCGCCGCTCCCTCAGCCCCGCGCAGCCCGCGGCGGGAAGGCGGGAGAAGCGCACGGCGCGGCCCGCGTGCGAGCGGTCAGGGGCGGGAGCCGGAGCCTGGGTGCTGCAGCCCACCATCCACCTGCGGGCGCCGCTGCTGCGGGGACCAAGCCCGGGGCCGCGGCGGGCGCTGGGAAGGGAGCTCCGGCCCCGAGGCGGCGGCTGCAACGCCTGCTCCGTGCTGGCCTCGTGGCTCCGACAGCATCACTTACTAGGACAGCATCGTTAGGGAGGAGAGGAAGGGAGGGAGGAGGGCGGAAGAGGAGGGGGAGAATCAATTCTTTATCAGACAGAGCTGGAGAGGAAATCAGACAGACCAGCAGGTGAGAAGTAAAGAAATTGGAGAAACTTCCTCTCCTCGCTCTCCTTTTTGTTTTCCAGAGAACCTAGAGCTCGTTTGCATTCGGACACAAGTTTCCTAAGGAAGAGAAAAGGGAATGGACTGGCTCGTTAATTTTCCTGCAGTCTTATTTACCCCATGCAACTCCCCATATTTCAAAAGCATCGCTCTTTCGTCGTATTCAAGATTTGCTTGAACCTACAGAGGTATAAATGCATTTCCCATCAGTGCCTTTGTACCCCAGGAGGGCATTGTTTTAAACGTGCAAGATGCATGTTCGTTTAATGGATCTCAAAGGCATCTAAGAGGACTTACATACTATCTAAGAAATACTTTTCAGCAAAAATTTGAAGTCTTTAAAAAAAAAAACTTTAAGAAAAGTGTCATAAAATTCAAGAACATTTATTCTGGGAGTAAAGAGTTACAGAATTTTAAGGACGCTTTTGTACATAGGAGGGGAGGGTATTGGGGGGATGGAATAAAATAAAATTTATTTAAAAGAGTTCCCCAGAATTTTGGTCAACAGGAGTGTCAGGGATCAAATAATCTCTTCCCTTTTATTTTCATTTCATTTATTTATTTTGCAGAGCTGAGGATGGGACACAGAGCCTGGAGTGTGCTTTACCACAGCTACACACCCAGCCCTGCTCCTTTTAGAAATGAGAAGGCTGAGTCCTAGAGAGGCTGAGTGAACTGCTTAAGGTAGATGGATAGTGAGGAACACTCAGATCAGACCCAGGAGGCCTCATTCTCAAGACTTTCCTGTTGCCCCAGCTAATCCAAATGGAAAGAAACAAGGTGGGATAAAATGTGATTTGTTCTTTTTAAACTTTATTCAATATACCATACTTCTTGGAGGAACAATTCTTCCCAAATTTAAACAAAACACAAGTAAGGAAATGTAGCTCCATTGAATTTAATTCTTCAAAAGTAAATAAAATACTCTGACTTTCTCCAGCTGACAGTAAGTCTGCATGTCTCAGGCAGACCCCTTCCAGCACCGTGGACCTCCCTGCCTGCCAGTCTTTCTGCAACACACCTCTAGGAGAGACCCAGAGACCGTGCTCAAAGCAAGTCTCATCATGACTTTTCTATATAAAAATCTCTGGTGGTTTCCCACTGCTTTCAGGTTAAAATCCAAATTTGGCATACCCAGCCAGCCCTCTGTGGTCTGACCCTAATTCTTCAGTCCCTCCTCCCATTCTCCCTCATACACAGTCTAACTCCAGTAACCCTCAATGTCCCATTCCTCACTGGGTGGACATACAGGTCACCTCCCTACTTTTTTCAACTTCCTGATGCTGCAGTGTCTAAGCTCCATCATCCACCTGGCACACTTCTATTTTTCCCAAAAGACCTACTTATAATGGGCCTCCAATCCGACCATCCTCCTGCATCCCAGGGAGGTCTCCATGGCCGCGATGTGGTCCTCACCCACTCTGCATAGCACATCTCACCTCAGACTGCATCACAGTGAAGTTAATTCTGGGTCCTCTTTAAACTGTCGTGACTTAGGATCATATTTATTTTGAGCTACTTGGGAGCTTATTTTTTTGCCCTTGTCATTTGTGCCTGGACAAAGTCAATAAATGTTTGTTGAATGAATTAATGAGGTCCATGGTTCTTTGTAGTCACATTAACAAGTTTATGAACTGCCCTTATGAGGCTCTGGAGAGAAACTCTGTGTGAACACTGGAGCCACCAGGGTTTACTCTTCCACACTCCATCAGTTTCCTAGGGCTACCATAACAACATATCAAAGACTCAGGGGCTTGGACAACAAATTTATTTTCTCACAATTCTGGAGACTAGAGGTCTGAGTGCAAAGTGTCAGCAGGCTTGGTTTCATCCGAGGCCTCTCATCTTGACTTCTCCCTGTGTCCTTACATGACCTCTCCTCCGTGCCTGTCCCAGTGTTCTCTTTTTATAAGGGCACCACTGAAATTGGATTAAGGCCCAACTAATAAGCACATTTTACTTTCTCAACCTATTTAAAAACACCATCTCTGACTATGGGCATATTGTGAAATCCTGGGGACTGGGCTTAACGTGAGTTGGGGGGCGCACAGTTCAATTCATAACACACACTGGTTCTCCTCGAGTGAGGGAACTGCTTCATCCAGAGTCTAACATTTTGATTCTGAAAAAGTGTGGCTTTAAGATTAAGGGAAACCCAGAGAAGAGGAAATCTAAAAGAAAATAGATTTTTAGACAAGAAGAAGTGTGTAGCTTTTTGGCATAGGCCAGCTTTGTCTTTTTAATTTTCTTCTTTCTTAGAAGAAGATGTATCACAGCATAGGCATTGTTAGCTGCTTGCATACTCATTAATTGCTTGTCTAAGATACATTCAAAATCTGTTACCACTACCCCTAAGTTACATCCCCAGCCCCAAAATATCCAACTCTTTTCAACTGGAGGTAGCCACTGAGGGATAAGTGGAGAATAACTTTCATGATAAATCCAAATATAATTAGTGATTTTTTTTAAAAACCCAGTGGCAGAGGATGGTCTCCAAATTTCTCTTCAGTTTCTTTTTTTTTTTTGTATTCAATTTTTTTATTGGTATATTGTAGGTATACAACACAATTACATTTCTCATTGGGAATTGTACCTTTATATAATGCATCTTGGTTCTTATTTTT